ACAATTCTAAGACAAAAATAAAAACATTTGAGTCTTTGTTGTGTGCAAGCATTAGATCCTAACACTATACACACAATCCTGCAAAAATAGTCAAGAGTTAAGAAGGAAGGGATAAATCTGGCAACTGAGTGAGTGCAACCTTTATTGAGTTTAATTGGCATAAAAGGATATATTTGATTCTCAAATTCTGTGCTTCTTTGTTCACTGAAGAATTCTCAACTTCGTGCTAAACCCTCAAACAATACTTTGTTCTTTCCTGATGCAATACACTAAGGGTACATCTAGACTACATGCCTGTCGCCAGAGGCATGTAGATTAGGCTACCAGACATAGGAAAATGAAGCAGCGATTTAAATAATCGTCGCTTCATTTAAATTTACATGGCTGCTGCGCTGAGCCGACAAACAGCTGATCAGCTGTTTGTCGGCTCAGTGCGATAGTCTGTACGCGCGGGTGTCGACATCAAAGGTATTTGTCGACCACCCAGGTATGCCTCATCCCAAGATGATGATGTAAATTTAAATGAAGCGGCGATTATTTAAATCGCCGCTTCATTTTCCTATGTCTGGTAGCCTAATCTACATGCCTCTAACGACAGAGGCATGTAGTCTAGACGTACCCTAATAGCCAAAGAGTTTTCAATCAATTTATTTTTTTAATAAGATTTATAGTTAGGGCTCAGACATTTATATCAATACAGAAAGCTTTATTTTAAATCATCCATTTCTAGAGAATAATATTTTAATAAAGCCTTTATAAAATACTAATGACTTAAACATTTTAGCTTAACATTGTGTTTACCTGCCATCATTTTGTACAGCGCTAGTATTCATGTTTGGTCCTGCCATGAGCGCAGGGGACTGGACTCGATGACCTCTGGAGGTCCCTTCCAGTCCTAGTATTCTATGATTAATTCTGTGTTTTAAAATGGATGAGATGGCAAGTCTAAAATAAAACTAGCGGGGTAGAACTATAAAGAACTATTTATAACTGGAAAAAATCTTGTGTTTTGACTTTAGAGAACTATGTAAGCAGAGCACTCACCTGAAAACCTAATAGGCAGACAGAAGTCCTATCTATTGTCTGCTGAAAAAACATGTCTTTTAGTATCAATGCATGCTTCTTTTAAGAAATGTCTGACACCCTCTTGTGGTTCCAGTTTGAATAGCAGCACGTTGCACAATGATTTAAATGACATATGTAACCTTCAAAGTTTTAACATTCGCATAATTAGAAATACCTGAACTGTAAATGAAAACTATTATTTAACGTTAGGATCCATGACTTATAATTCAGGGCTTTATAGTGAAGTGAGGGGCTAAGTTTTCTCCATCTTCCATTAATGCCTGAGAGATTTTGCAATATGGACAGATGCTAAAAGGTCAGTTTTTACCAAAATGGAAATAGAACACACACTCGTTCATTATAACCTAAAAAAAAAAAAATGCTTCTGTGTGTATAAAACAGCCACAGGTCCCTCTTTTCACTGACTGATATATCCACAAGAGGAGCTTTCTTCTACAGCAGGTTTAAAAGAATCCCTGTAAAGTCAAAAACCCAAACCCAATCAAATATGCACTCTTGGTAGCATATGAATAACTGTTACTTAGCAATTAACTCCTGTAAAGACGTGTACATTTTCTATTTCATGTTCTGCTCTTGTAATGCATATAATTAATAGTATAAGAATGTGTTCATCTTTGAAGACCATGCAAATGTTGGCAAACAAATGTGTCAGACTATTTTACTGACATGCTTTCTAAAAGGAGAGAGAACTCAGCTTGCTTCACAGTAATTACTGCCAAAACAGTGGAGAAAACAGCCTTGGGGAAAGGAGGTGCAGTATTAGTCACCTCCAACATAAAGTTACCCACAAATTAAAACACACACAACGCTGCCGTTTAATATAGTCTCTTCTGAATTTCCAGAAGCTACATACAGTTTCATGAGAAAATACCATTCCACTAAGTTTTTTTCCACATTTCATCAGAAACAAGTGAAAAGACTAAAATAATTAAAACAAGCAATGAAAGCTTCCAACCAAATGAAATAATTAAATATTATCAAAAGTATTGTTAAGGAGATAGAAAGGTTTCTTGCTCCTCCCAGAAAGTGTGAAAAATAACTTCTGTTGGATATGTCAAGCTCAAATTCATCACTGTATAAAATTTTGTCTTTGAAAAGGAAGACTAAAACAGTGGTTCCCAACCATTTTTATACTATAGACTGGTAAACCCATTCACAAACTTTTGACAGACCGGTAACATTGTATTTGCATATTAATTATGGCAATTAATTTTAAGAGGTCACATGTTAATTTACATCACATCTGTATGTACACAATGCATGTCATTGTAACTCAGGCATGTCAAACTGGCACAACAGAATTTTTTTGCAGCCTGCCAGAACATTATAAAAAAAGGAAGTGTGGCCCGCTGACTGCTCAGAGCTGGCCAGGCCACTTTGCACCACAGCAACTGCTCATGGCCAGTTGAACCGTGGGCACTCTGCACTGGCTCTCCAGAGGGCGCTCACAGCTGGCCACTGTGCTCATGCTGCCTCCGCGCCTCAGGCAGCAACGTCGACTCCGGGACCCAGGTATTGGGGAGGGGGGAGGGCTGGGGGCTGGGAATGCCTGGCTTTGAGGAAGAGGGGGAGGCATTAGGTTGGGGGGGCTTGGCCCTGAGGGAGGCATTAAGCTGGAAAGTCCTGACTCTGAGGTAGTGGAGGGGGACTGGGTTAGAATGGGAGTGTCTGGCTCTGGGGGAGGGGAAGGAGTTATTTTGTTAATATTTTGTTTTTTATTTATTTATTCCCAAATAAAATAATAAAATGTCTATTAATTTTATATCAATAAATGTGTCTTTTTTTTGCAATTGCATGAATAATATCTTTATGCAAAATCTCAAATTTACAAAGTATCTGAAATTTTCACAGATACCTCTTCTATTTGATTAACCATGATCTATACTTGTTTTTATTTCAACAAAAGAAGTTATGTATCATATACAAAATTTAAAAGTACCTTAAATTTATATTTAAATGAAAAATTATGTAAAATTAATGTAAAATTTTTTAATATGAGCAAATAATTTTACACATCAAATTATTAAAATATTATAAAATATACCTTAAAAGCCAGGTATCCAGTATTCTGCCTGGCACCTAAAATGTTTTGTTTTGCTTGACAAACCATTTGGGAACCTTACGTGGCCCTGAAAGCTATCAGTTTTCGTTTGTGTGGCCCTCAGTAGGCTTCGAGTTTGACATGCCTGTTATAAGGGATCAGAGTTTGCAGATCTCTACAACACTAAAAAAAAAATTCTGTTAAAAGTACCCTTTCCTTTCTTATCTTGAGCCATTAACACCTATGTAAACTTTGTTTGAAATGTATTCATGCAAATGTCATGAGCCAGGCCTTTAAGAGGGAAACAAAGTTAGATACTTTCACTGCACTAAAGACAGGACTATGTAGCACTTTAAAGACTAACAAGATGGTTTATTAGGCGATGAGCTTTCATGGGCCAGACCCACTTCCTCAGATCAATTTGTGGAAGAAAATTGGCATGACCATATATACCAAAGTGATACAATCAAAAAAAGTGAACACATATAAAATTGACATATCAAATTTTAGAACAGTGAGAGTGAGGGTGAAGGTTAGTGTCTGTGAGGGAATGACATTAGATAATTCACCCCAATGTCATTACCTCACAGACACGCACATCTAGCCCACCTTCTCTGCCCCTTTCCCCTCCCGCATGTCCCATATGTGAACCAGGAAGAGTGGCTCCTGTCTATCTGGGGACTCGGCAGGAGCAGCTACAGCATGAGACGCCAGGATGCTCACACCCACCTCCAAGACCAGGGGACGCACATGGGGCAAGCAGGAAGGTCTCATATCTCTCCAGGGGGCCTCTGTCAGCAGCCAGGGCCCTTCACAGCTCCCCCAACAATAGCTGGATCTGTCCTGCCCTAGCCGCGCTGCTGCTCCGCACCAGGGTACTGGAGCCAAAGAAAACACTCAGCCACAGTGGCAGAGCCACAGCAGCTAGTGCTCCATGGGGCAGGTGAGGGGTTGTGAGCAGCCTCCTGCTTGCTCCCCCCAGCAGCCAACGCCCCCGCTGAACTGGGCAAAGGGGGGGGGAAGGTGGCCAAGGGCCTGGTACTCCCATCAGGCTGTGCAAGAGACCAGTAGAGGGACCATGGGGAAGGGGAAGAGGGGGCGTTTGCACCTTTTGCACGCCCTCTGCGTACAGGCCTGTCAAGGCATGGGTGTGGCCTAGCAACATGCCACGGCCCGGCAACATACCACAGCCCGGCAACCAGTGGTTCACGGCCTGGCACCACTGGACTAGAACACAGATAAGTATGAAGATACTGCCCTCAAGATATTTTCAATGCCACTGCCATCATTGCAATATGGGGTGATCCAATACAAGGCCTTCAATTAGATCTTCAGCATCAACTTCATGGGACAATAGGGATGTAAACTTCCATTTAATTGGTTAACTAATTAAACCTATTGTTTAATCAGTTAATCAATTACGGGGAGGAGAGGTGAATAAGTGTGGCTAGAGTGACCCCTCCCCGCCACAGACAGGGGCTGCTCTGTGCACAGTAGGCCTCTGTGAGGCAGGAGCAGTCCCTGCCTAGAGCAGGCAGAAAGCTGTTCCAGCCCACATTAGACAACGTAAATAGCAGGTGAGGCTTCCCGATTAACTGGTTAAACGTTCACATGCCTATTGGACAATGTGTGTGCCTTTCTATATTTGCGTAAAAAACAGTTACTTCTTATAACTGTGGTTCTGCAAGATTATTTCATTTAGGCTTTGTCTACAAGTTAAAGCACTTCCATGCTACAACCACATTCAACCCTCTCTTAATAAAAGAAACACTAGTGAGAAAATGAAGGGAAATCACCACTAGGAGGTAACAGTGCATGGAGTGGGGGGAGGAAGGAGAAGGAAAACCACCAATATAAAACAAAGATAGTTTACCTGTGACCTCGAATGTCAGACTGATCACATACTCCTCCTAAGGCAATCCGATGGAACTCTCGGCCCAGAGTTTTTGCAACAGATCTTCCCACACTAGTTTTACCAACTCCAGGGGGACCCACAAAACAAAGGATGGGTCCCTTTAGGTTGTTTTTAAGTTGTCTGACAGCTAAATACTCCAAAACTCTCTTCTTCAACTTCTCCATGGCATAATGGTCATTGTCCAAAAGAATTCTGGCTGCACGAATATCCAGACGATCTGACAAGCACAAAAATAAGGAGATCAGCATTATTTTCCTTTAAAGAATAAAAAACATTGTTTCTGAAATGGAATTGATAGAATTTGGTTACTGTTGTAAATGGTAACATTTCAGATTGCTTTCTGAGGAACAGTAAAATTACAGTTTTTCCTTCCTTGAAGAATTAAGACTCCTAAAACACCACCGCCACAATGTTAAAAATCAATACAACCTCCCTTACCCTTTGCAAAGAAATGTGTTAAAAGGAAATCAGATAGATCCTGGTACTGGAATACGAAGCCTTCACCTCTAGATTATGGATTCAAACTCTGACCCATCTTAGTAGCAACAGTTATATGATAGCAATTCAGTGACCTTTGTAAAATGAAATGGTCTCAGTCCAACTGCAGTGAATTGGTTATCACACATAAAAAAAAAAAAAAATCAATATTATGGTCCTTGCTGGCAATCTCAGCAGAAAGGTGAAAGGCAGTGCCTTGTAAATAGATTACTCTGGATGGTCTCATAAGATTCACAACCCGGGGAAATGAAGAAAAGTATATGCGAATACCTTTAACGCACAGAAACAATCTAGACTCAGACATCAGTGCAGATATCATTTGACAATACCTCCAGTCAAATTTGACAATCTTAGACATGAGTTTGAGGTTTGCAATAGAAGCTTTACTTACTTTATCTGAAGTGTCAAATTGTTATTCAGGGCACAGCATGTATATTGGCAAATACATCAGCCTCAATTGTAAGTATGACAGACAAGTAATCTAAACTACGCACATATACACTGTTTGTTATATACCTCAATCTAAACTACGCACATATACACTGTTTGTTATACACCTCTGAATACACAAATGAAGTCAACTACACGGTTTACTCAATTCCAGCAACCTTTGAACACAAAACGAAATTCTAAAATGAACAAAGGCACATCCTGATCTTATTCTAAATGGAGTCAAGGATAGAATCCCTCAATATAAAAGCAATCATGGCAAATAGGGCAATCACTGATCTTTAAATTAAATATAATCTACATGCCAGTTATACAGTTACAGGAGAATCAAGCAATTTTACATCTGGAATAACTTTCATTAAAAGGAACAAAGGACCACAAGAATTTAAGGGCCTGAATGTGCTTTTACTTATCCCAATATAAACCAAAAGTAATTTCAATTCAGCCAGTGGAATAATATCAGGGTAAAACCAAAGATGGAAGACTCAGGCACACAAAAAAACCACCTCCAGAAAGGTTTGCAAATTCTGGTTCAAACTGGATTTTCAGAGAGTAAGGAGACAAAGGGCTTTTGCCTTAACATCAATGTGTTGAAAGTGACTCAATAGTCTTTTTTCTGGTCTAGCAAAATGGTCTTGACTCCATTCTTCCAGAATGAAAGCAAAGCATGGAGACAGAATGACTTAGGTGATGATGAGACACCTCAGACCTGACTGGGAACTACTGCAGTAGACCAATAATTATTTTGGAGATGTAGGAGGAGAACAAGAGGCAGTAGAAGACATAAGTACAGTTACCCTGAAACTATGACACTCAGAGACAGAGATAGGAAAAACAGGAGGGACCATTCCAGAAATGACAAGTAAATGTCAGAGATTTTATAGCATTTGCTTTCCAGTAGACATAGCTCAGACCTACAACATGTTTTGGCCTTGGGTAAATAACATATCAGTCCTGAGATAGCATGTCACACATTATCTTATGATGAAAAATACTTCACATTTAAAATGCACATGAACTCTCATTAAGAACTACGTGACATTTCCTTGAAAAAACACCCACCACTGTACTGAGCCACAGAGGTCAAAATACAAGTATAATTGTATTTCTAAGGTTTCCAATACACTACTGTGAATGTATTACAGTACATACAGACACGGCATGTAGGTATAAATACAGTAGGCTGGATTACAAATCCAGCACATTTGTCCAAGGTGACAAGATTTAAGCCATCTCTACCATGGTATCATTTGGCAAGTGGAGAAGTAATAGATGTAGATAAACCAGGGTCAGCAAAATACGGACCACAGGCCGGAGCCGGCCAGCAGTAGTCTTAGCCACGCTCCCTGCCTGCCCCGCCCCTGCTTGTTGCTCAGAAAAGCTGGCTGTGCGGCCATGTGCTTCTGTGAACATGGGGAGCCTTGGGGGGGGGGGAGGAGCCAGGCCTCTCATACTGCCCCCACCCCTAACTGGCTGGTTTCTGGCCAATAGGAGATGCTTGTTTACAGGACAAGCAGCATGTGAAGTATCCCTCTCCTTGGCTCGCAGCCTTCAGAGCAGCACACATGGCCCCTGCAGCTGCTCATGCACTCATACCCCTTCCCAGACTCTCCACTCTCTCTTGCACTCCTCCTCCAGGTCACAACCCCCTCCCAGATGTTGCAACCCCAACTCCTACCCCTGCTCACAACCCAAATCCCTGTACCCCTACTGAACTCCTGCCTCAGGTTAAAACCCCCTCAAAGCTCCTGCAACTAGGGATGTTAAATTTCAATTAATCAGCTAATCGAATGGTCGATGGAATTTCCACTGACTAACCAATTAATCAATGGGGGGGGGAGGGAGATGCAGTCCTTGCTCATGCCGGGTTCCCCATTGCACCTCTGCCTTCTAAATGTAGTAAAATCCGGGTAGCTCTTACTACATTTATAAGGCAGAGGTGCAGCAGTTGGGACCCCCACTGCGTCTCTGCCTCCTGTCTCCCCCAATCCTGCACTGAGGAGACAACTCCTGCTCCAGGGAATTGGGGCATTTACTTGGCACAGCTTCTGTTTGGCAGAGGACCACAGGTGCTCCTAAACCACCCTGTACTTGCAGGCAACGCTCCCTGCTGCTCCCACTGGCCATGATTCCCTGTGTTGCTATTGCTCCAGAGGGGGGAAAAGGGGGAGAAGGAAATGGCAGCATGCTGCACCACTTCCTTCCCCACACCAGGCAGAGCTGGCCACTCAGGGGCTTTAGCGCTGGCTCCCCACTGCTTTGCCCATAGCAGAGAGTCGGTTTCCAGCCATGTGGAAAGCGGGGTGGGGGAAGAAGAGTGCGGAGGCTCGGAGACTTGTTGTAGGGCTGCAGCACCAGCATCAGCCTGCACCTTACTGCAGGCCAGATCAAGGCAAGCCAGAGGCCAGATCTGGCTCATGAGCTATAGGTTCTCCTTCCCTTGTGTTGTGACAAAGCAAATGCAAATTGATCATAGTAGCTGAAAGAACCTCAAGTATTTTTTTTCAGTTTAGTTTTGGAACCACTTATTTTTATTTAGAATGCTAAAATTATTTGTATTACACTGAAACTGGCCTTTCCCAGTTTTTGGCAACCTTCCCTCTGTTTGTAGTGATTTCATCTAGTTATTAAAGAAGAACTTGAACGTAACAATCATCCCAGTCCTACGAAAATGTCCAATTTGGGAACTAGTTTCATCAGCTCAATTTTGTGAATGCATTTGGTTGATTCTACAGCAACTTTCAGCTTAGGAGCACAAGACTCTAACATACTAAAACATTTATCAGTAGAAACACTTCAGATTCCGCTTAACAATTCAAAGCAAATTTTCAGGACTTCAAAAGAACAGAACACAAGAACGGCCATACTGGATCAGACCAATGGGCCAGCTAGCCCAGCAGCCTGTCTTTCAACAGTGGTGCCAGATATTTCAGGAGGAATGAAGAATTAATTGAATGATCTATCCCCTAAGCATCTTTACACATATTTATTGTACACTCCCCTTTTCCCAAAAGCTGACTGCAAACATAACATTTGACAACACAAACTATTAATATTTAAGTATTCAGACCCAAAATAGACTGAGAGCCTGACTTTTAAGACTATGTTTATGCTACAAACTAGGGATGTGAGTCCCATTGTCTCATGCTCTCTGACTGCACTGCTGCAGTTATAAACAGCAGTATGGCAATGATTGCATGGGTAGCAAAGGCATGGCTTTCCCATACAGAGTACCTACCCTTCAGTCTCAAGGCAGGTCTATACTCAGCACACACTTCCACTGCTGCAGTCAGTAGTACTGCAGCTAAACTACACTTATGTTAATGCAACTCTTTGTACACAAGAAGAGGAATCTTGCGTACGTACACAGCTTGCTCAGTGTAAACATAGCTCACAGTGCGCAAACAGCCTCAGCGTTGCAGTCCTAAACTATTAGAATAAACTGTTTCATTTGAAAAGGGGTTAGCAATATCTAGGTTTAAGAAACTTTTGATCTCTTAATACTGCCAACACTAAAAAACTTGAATTGCAAGGAGCCCGGTGGCCCGTCCACCCTCCCACCATTCACACTGCTGCTACGCTATCAGGGGCTGGGGAGCAGGCATGGATTGGAAATGCATAGTATGCATGGAAAGCCAGCTTGAAAGACAGCTCCCTGCACACACCAGATTGTGGGGAGCTGACTGCCCCCCTTCCACATATAACCGCTGACATTTTTTACTTAAATGCATTTTAACATCCCTCATGTAAATTAAGTAGTATTGTAACGTGGTTCAACTAAGTCATGATTGATCCACGTTTTGCTGTTTGTAACTTACAGAATGTGGTCTGGATTAAGACCATAAATAGTTCTCCTATTGGAACCCTAATAAAAACCACTTAATGAAGCTCTAAGTAACAAAGTATTTAAATATTCAGGAAGGAAACAGATTTCTTTATCAAGCCTCTGTGAGGTTTCTATAAAAATGTGGTAACAAAATTTGCAAGACTGGAAAAGGCTTCATTTACATCACACCTTTCAACTACAGGCAGTCCCCGGGTTACGTACAAGATAGGGACTATAGGTTTGTTCTTAAGTTGAATTTGTATGTAAGTCGGAACTGGTACATATTGTAGGGGAAACTCTAGCCAAACATTTCTCCAGAGCTCAGTTTTATTCTCCCACACCTCACTTCCCTCAGTCCTTTATTCGCAAGCTGAGGTGTCTGCTATGCTTTCTTCCCTAAGTTGATGTCCTGGTGATCTGGCTTCCATTATCTTTTTGGATTTTTCATTATGATGGATCAGCTTAGACCAGTCCTCTTTAGCGACCTATTCAGTCTGCTCAAAGAGCTAGGCAACACACACGCTGACCCACCTGTGGCTGGGTCTGCACTACAGACCTACGTCAGTATAACTATGTCACTCTGGGATATGAAAACTACAGTACTTTTAAACTGCTCTGCCTTGTAGCATATTTTATCAGTCCGAGCTATATTTTTGTTGCAAGTTTTTAAAAGTGTGTTGTTAAAAGAATGACAGAAACTTAGAGGCAGACCCTGTGGACAGTCTCAACAGGAATTGTGTTTGAATGATGACAGCAAGATTGGGATCATTAACAATTCTTTAGGATCTCCTGAAATGGGACCTTCATGGACAGACCTTAACACCTACCACTGTAGGTGTACAGAGTCCCACTGAAATCAGGACATATTACAGCATCAAGGTCATAGTCGCTAACTTTGTTTCAATAGTTAGTTGATGGTATCACATTTCTCTCTTTTCTATTTTCCTGAACCTCTGTATGCTATATCCTTAGAACAACTAGACAGCCTAAAAATAGTCCTTCTCTATAGAATTCTATACACGCAGTGATTCCAAGAGCTTAAGTAAAGCATAGTTAGAAGTCTAAAAAAATATTTTGACATGTTCTGCTTTGAGAAATTGTATTGTTGAATGTTTGTTTATACCAAAGATTTGGGTATGTACAATTAAAAACTAAATAAATAACTACCAGATGATGCCAAAAGGGTGGTGATGTAATAAAAAATGAGGAAACATATTTTAAATACTAGTCTCTTCTTTGATTTATATTTGAAGCATTTTCAACAAATGTACATTCACTTTAGCCATTGTGCTTAATCCCATGCTTGAGAGCATGTTGCTGATTTCCTACTACAGGCAGTCCCCGGGTTACGTACAAGATAGGGACTGTAGGTTTGTTCTTAAGTTGAATCTGTATGTAAGTCGGAACTGGCATCCAGATTCAGCCGCTGCTGAAACTGATCAGTTTCAACAGCGGCTGAATC